ATCTAAGTAGTCCCATTGACTTTAAAAGGATGTAGTTCTCCCCTAGTAGTACTTAGCACACTGGAAGGCCCTGAAAGGAGTAGTGCAAGCATGAATACATGTTTGATCAGCCTAAATCAGAAAACTTTGATAATAAATACACATAGCAGCAGAAAGTGAAACAATATATTTATCCTGTTTGTTCTGTACTCAGGAGATTTGGCATATCATACCCTTTCATATAAAGGGGTCAAACCCCCTAATCAGCTATTTATCTGATTACATAGTGGGTGTGTCTACATGAGACACTACTGTGTAGTGGTTACTGTGCATTTATTTAGTACTTGTACTAGAAGGCAAACACCTTGTAAGTGATGCTACTGCGCAGTAGCCTAATATTACTGCACAGTAGCATCTTGGTACGGTTTTTGCCATGCAATGCTACTGCACAGTCAGTGTCATGTAGACGTGCCCAGGATGTATGTAAAAATAGTTCTGAGCACATGTAGACGCGTATGCTGATAAATGAGAGATAGGCTGACAACATCCCAATTGTTACCGGTCAGAACCTCTGCTGCTACAGTTCAGAAAGTGAGGTTGCCACAGTACAAGGATGCCTGCTATCTGGAACTGGAACTTAATTCTTGTGACTACATGCATGTTGTGGGGATGAAGGGAGTTTTGCTTCATAGTATGTGGAGTAGAAACTATTGGCTTGCGCATGTATATTTATATATATTGTTCCATATGCAGTCCAGAACGTTAAACACAAAGTTCTAATTGGGCCTAATTCTGTTCCTCATTAAGCCGTTGACACAACTCCCATTAATAGTAATGGAAGTATGCTTGGGTTCATTGAGAAGAACCATTTCTCGGCAGCAGGCAGCCTTATTCTGTGGCATCCCTGTGTTCTGAATGGCAGAGGTATTTGCAAACAAATGCAGAAGGAAGCAGCAAGTGGAGAATCTTTGAGCAGTTCTATGTCTCTCTAGCATCGGTGGCAAATACTCTGCTGCCTGCTGCCTAGTGGTGTCATTTACACCTACTCAAAGGAGGAGTAAAATGCTACTAAACTGGAGCTGCAGTGCCATCTTCTTCTTTCTCCTGCCTGTGTCATCCTTTACTTCTTTCATTTCAGTCGATTTGACAACTGCTTTGCATGATGACACAAGGTACAACACAAGGAAGAGTCAGGCCCAGCATCTCTGCATTGTTACTATACATGGATCACAGAATAAGCTGAGGGTTCGCCCTTCACGTTATCTGAATGATTTTGTTCCTTTGAAAATAAAATAAAGTTTGCAGTGTATGGGTATTTCTTGCTACACCGATGAGCTTGTTTGATCTGACCTCTTCTGCCAATAAACTCGATGGACCATATTCTGCAACCTTTCAAATACTGCCCAGCTCTTCCTCACACCATTCCACTGGCCAGCAAGACCACTTTTGTGAGTAAGTGCTGGTCAACGCAAATAACTAGAATAGCAGAATATGGTGTTTTCTGGCTAAGAGGCCATATCAAATGGCCCAAAAGATTTTTATTTCCTGCTCGTGTTAAAGTAAATAAAGCACCAATTTTAAGGCAATAGCTGTGCAGCCAAGACTTGCAGTCTGGGATAAATGCATAAGCTAAACTGTATTAGAGCACGCAGTATGGACAGCAGAAGGGAGGATCCACGCACCTGCAGTATTCAGCCCAGGCTGTCCCTCAGCTCATAAACTGCACCATTACACAAGGCTGCTTCTGTACACAAAAGCACAGGCTGAAGAAATGCAACTAGATATGCTGTTGACAGGCAGAGAGCTGGCAGATAACCTTGACTAAAAATCAGGTGGCCTTTCAGTGTTTGTATAATTTCCTGCAGGTTAGATTTTTAGTTGTGTGTATTTTGGTCCTGTTAAATGTCAGTGCACATTTATGCTGCACTGCAATTTTACCTTGGCCTGGTTACTGTATGAAGTCACACTTTGCAAAATGTATTTTTGCTCAGATCTTTGAGATCCAAATGCAGTATCCTTTTCCTGCCAGCTCATCTCTTTGACATATTACTTACAGGAGCTTGTTTTTTTCTCTTTATGTTATTTCTGTGCATAGTTTTAATTCCTTTCTGACTTACCTCAGTGATGATGAGCAGGAGATGCAGGATACAGTATTAAAAAGTACTTGAAATGTTGGGATTTAGCTGAAGGTAAACTGGAAGTGAAGGGAAACGTTAAAGTGCGTTGCTTTAAGGTGAGAGTTGTGAGAGCCAGGCAAGGAGACTGCTTCACCTGAGCAGAGCCCTATGTGCTGGCAATGGGGCTCTACAGAGTCATTCCCCTACACAAGGCCTGAGGCCTGGCTCCAGGGCTCCTGCAGGCACCAGGATTCACCTACATAATCTTCAGTGGAGGATCAGGGCCCACCTGAAGAAGAGGAAAGGAAAGTTTCACTAATTAAATGCTTCCTAATGGAGTATTTTCCCACTTTGTGATACTTTTTGTTCATTGCTGTGTTCTGTTAGAGAGTCTGCTGCAGTATTTGGATCCCAAATCCCTGAGTGTGGGTGTTTTACTCTCCCAGAAATACTCGTGAAGTTAGGACCACATTTTCCATACAGACGGGTTCTTCCTTAATTGTCTTCTGCAGGGTTTCTTGTGCCTTCCTCTGAAGCAGATGGTCCTGACCGCTCGGAGAAAGAGCATCTTGCCAGGTGGATGCCAGGTGGATGGCTGGTCTGGTATGGCAGCTCCTAACAGGATGGGGTTAGAGGCAATTTTGTTTTTTGATAGTGAGAGAAAGAAAAGTGTTGATGTGCCAAAACCTACTGCCTCCCTCCTGCTTTGCAGTGGGGTAGCAAAGAACGAGAAGGGAGGTTAGGGCTTCCCCTCCTGCTGGCTCTTATAGAGAAGGCCCATCTGCTTGCAAGTCGTATAGCACGTATTACCCATGTAGCACGTCTTAAGAAGCCACCACTTGTCATCCTAACCAGAAGCAGGCTGGGGTATCAATTGCGTAAATGAATTGCAAAGTCATGTTTTCCTGTAAGCTGCTCGTGTGCATTTGCTTCTTTTTTGGTAATACAGATATTTGCAAAGGGCTTTAAACCCAGCATGCAACTTCCTCCCTGGTGATAACGCATGTGCTGTTGCTGAGCCTGAGCCTGCAGCAGGATGTGTTTTTACTTTCCTTTTAGCAACACCCATCTGACAGACCGAGCAAGTCAGCAGGGGCAGTCTCAAAATGTGTGGCTTGCGCAAAATGCAGAAAGACACTTGTGAAAATGCATTTTGCTGTATTTCTGTGGGAGAGGCAAGGGTTTCTTAGGGTAATATCTTTTATTGGACTGTGTTTCTGATCAGTTCTAGTGTGGGGTGGTGGGGGACCAGCAGGTTACTGGGGGGGGATTTGGAGAGCTCTTTCAAATGTACAGTCTATTTCTCTACTGGAGTGTCCTTGTGGTATGGGGGCAGACTTTAGGCTGGTCAGGTGGGCATCATGCGTGTTCTCCTCTGTGCAGATGCAGTCGAATCCCAGGACCTGGCTGTAGGTAACGGCTTTTTTGGTGTGCGTGGCAAGATTACTGGTCTCGTGGACGTAGAGATGGTAGCCTTTAAGTTTTCTATATATAGTGGTTTGTAGGTTGCCATCCTGTGTAGTGTGTTGAAAGTAGGTGTTAGTGCAGGCGTATTCCAGAGAAGGCTTAACCGAGGGGTGATGGTTAAACCTGTGATGGTCACATTAAAGATGTCACCCTAAGAAACCCCTTGCCTCTCACATAATTTCTGGACCATCCTGGCTACAGCAACACTCTTACACTGCCTGTATGTCCATGTCAGTGATGCCTCCCTGCTGCAAACGTGAACAGAGCGCTGGGATGAAACAGGACAGAAAAACTAACTGATGATCTGAAGAGCTTAGACAAAGCAAAACCAACCCAGCCCTGTCGCACGGACTGGACTGCAGCCTCAGCTCCAAAATGCCATGAACAGCGGGCATGAAAACAATGGCGCCCTTGCAAGATGCCCTGGGACGGGGGGGCGCAGATTGTGGAGCCCCAGATCCTGTGTGATCTGGGACTTGAAAATCGGAGTTCTCTGCCCTTCGCCAGACGCCCCAGGTAAAATGTTTGCAGTGTTTGCTCGCTGATTCCCCGTGCTCGACTGGAAACCGCGGAGACCCAGCCGCCATCGCTCTTTGTCTTGGAGCATCTTGGCAGGGCCGCAGGCTGGGACCCCAAGCTAAGACACCAGAACGGGGACACGGCACTGGGAAGGCAGCAGTGGCTGTTGGAGCCCTGGGCAAGAAAGTCATTTGGGGCTCCTTAGAGGCTTAATTTGAGGACCTATAAGCAAGTCGGACATTTTCGATTTCAATTTCACTTTGCCCTAGCCATGAAACATGTATCTTTATACAATATGATAATACAAATATTCAGCGTCATTAATTTTTATAAAGTGTAGGGCCCTGGCGGTTGCCCGGTTTGCTCTCCCTTAAGGCTGCTACTGGGGAGGGTCCCTTGTGCAAGCGAAGGGAGTTTGCTCTGACACGGTGCAACAGCTGCCCTGTGGCGGAGAGGCTGCGCCGGTGGACGCCGGGCCTCAGCAGCGGTTCCGCACTTTCGCCCCGGTCCCTAGGCCGAGCCGCTGCCCAGCCCCGCTCGCTCCCAGCAGCTCCCCCAGTCCCCCTCGCCTGCCCGCAACAAGACACACCTCTTCCGCCTCATTGGCCAGCTCCCACCGCTGATTTGCATAGCTCCCTGCGTGCCAATCAGGCGCCGCTGGCTGTTTTGCATATGGAACGCCGGCCACTCAGCGAGCGCGGGGGCCGGGCCACCACGTGCTGTTGCTAAGCTTCGGCTTCTAAATTGTTACTATCGCGGCCAGCCAATCGCGGCGCCGCTCGGATCTGTCAACATTCTCTCCCCGAGCCAGGGGGGAAGGGAGGGGGGGTGCTCCCCTCTCCCGATTGGCTGTACTTCGGGTGGCACGCCCGCCCCTCGACAGAACCCCCGCGGCCCATTGGCCGGCGCGGCTGCCCGTTGCTTTTGTGTCAAAGTAGTTTATATAGGGGGACTTGGAAGTCCCCAGCGCTGAACCCGGAGCGGTGGCGGGCGCTGCGGGGCCGGGGTAGAGCCGCCAGCGCACAGCCCGCCATGGAGCTCAACTCCCTGCTCATCCTCCTGGAAGCAGCTGAGTATTTGGAGAGAAGAGACCGAGGTACCGCGGGGCT